TTACAAATGATGAGACCACTAAAAAATACAGAATGAAGCAATTCTTAAAATCATAAATATGAAACGCAGAAGGTCATAGAGCAGATTAAGCATATCAAATATCATCTTAGTAAGTTGTAAAAGTTTGTTCTTTAAGCAAATGCTAAATTAAAGAGGGATTCTGCTGTCGGCAGTGACAATATGTGGAAACTCAGCCTGACTTTACCCTTTGTAAGGAGGGCACATTGTTTGAGTTGTTTATGTAGGTCAGACAAATATTACAGATGCCTAGGGCAAATCCTTTCATCGTACTAATTCCTACAGAGCAGCTCGCAAAGTACAAAGCAAATTGTAGAGTTCTTTTAAATTTCACTCTTCCTAAGAAGCAGTAGTATTTTAATTAACTGGATAATAAACCACAGGGCAGGAAGATTGGCAACATCTGTGCAATCTACTCTTGACTGGACAAGGAGCCAGTCCTGCAACATTTTCATGTTTTGACTTTCATTCATGTTGGTAATCAGTCATTCTTACACCACTGTAAGCATATTTTCAGTGCTGCAAAAAGGTTTTGAATGAAATCCGAATCTGCAATGGAAACAAAGGTAAAATTTCCATTAGCTTTGCTCAGGAAAATGTCTACAGTTTATCCTAGTAGACATCCCAGATTCCATCTCAAGTATTTAATGGTAAAACCTCTCCAGGATGTACAGCATGCAGATCCAGAGCTGCACTGGTTTTATACTTTGCTATTTTTTTCATTTTGGTTTTGATTATGAAGCAGAAGCAACCTGGAAGACATCCCATTTAAAATGTAGTGTGAGGAAAAAAAATTGGTCTGATGGCACTATTCGTGGTATAAGTGATCAAAAGTCACTGTCAAGAAGGAATCTATAGTATGAGATACCGAAGAAAGTATTGTCACCAGCTACTGTGTGCAGTTTGGGGCACCACAGCATAAGAAGGACATAAAATTATTGCAAAGCCTCCAGAGGAGGGCTACAAAGATGGGAAAAGGTCTAGAGGACAAGAAGTATGAGCAGCAGCTGAGTTTGCTCAGCACAGAGCAGAGCAGCTGAGGGGAGGCCTCATGGCAGCTGCAGATCCTCATAGGGAGCGGAGGGGCAGCGCTGAGCTCTGCTCTCTGTGACAGCAGCAGGGCCCGAGAGAACGGCGTGGTGCTGTGTCTGGTGAGGGGCAGCTGGGGGTTAGAGAAAGGGTTTACACCAGACAGTGGGCATGGAACGGGCTGCACAGGGCACGGCCCCGAGCTGCTGGAGTTTGAGGAGCATTTGGACTCTGCTCTCAGACACAGGGTTTGGGTTTTGGGTAGTGCTGCATGGAGCCAGGAGTTGGACTTGATGATCCTTGTGGGACCCTTCCAACTGAGGATGTTCTGTGATTTTGATTTTATGATCTTTCATTTGAAAGACAAAAGAAATGTCTTTGCCTTCAAATTACATTTTTAAAGTCGTTCCAAGGAGCGTAATGACAGTGAAAGCATGTATGATGTGTTACAATTTTCTGTCACTTCTAAATTTGAAAAAAAGTTGTCTTAGTACTTTGAACAATTTTGCATTCCAGAGTGATCATCTCTTCATCACCTCCTACATCCTGTGTGCTGACACCACCCACTCCATTTGGATTCCATTTCTTCAACCCATTAGCTCGTACCACAAGGCTGACCCCACCTACAAATACAGTTTGAGAAGAAAAAAAACCAAAACTAATAGGCTTTTTAAATTTTAAGTGATCCATACCAGCTGTCACAGAAAATACAGAAACTTGCCAGACATAATGATCCACCTCCTGCTATTGTTGTATTGTTCCATTTTTTTCTTTCTTACTAATACTCATTTCTAATATTTATCAGCCAATGTGAATAACCAAAAGAGGCTTGTACCATGTAATATCTTTGCAAAATTGAGTTAAGAAGCTCTTAGAAAGAGCAAAGAAAGAAACTTCAGTACACAGTTTTCCAGTGATTATCACTAGGCGTAATGTTCCAATTTGCATTTGAAAAGTTCCTTTGTATGGAGAAAACTTAGGGGCTTTGGTATTTTTCTGGAAACATATAAAACTGAATGTCTGATATTTTTTTTCCTACTAGTGCTGGGATTTCCCCAGTTCTATTGGGGAAAATGGGTCAGCTCATAGTTCTTACTGCAACCTGTAAATTTATGACAGTGTGACTGAACAGTGATCCACATGGAATGTCATCTTACCTCCATGAATTATGTACATATCTCAAAAGGTGAAAGATGGATGTAATAGCCAATTACAGACCACTGAGCTCCTTAGAGGAAGTTCTTATCTCTTGTTAGTTGTAGCTTTTCTTTTTTCTCTTGCCTAATTTCAATTGGAATATTACCATAAATTTAAATATCTAATCCTAATAACATCGATTAATTCTAGTTTCTTCCAACTAATTCTAAAATTTTAGCTATGCATTTACATTTTTTTTCTGTTACCTTTATATTTATTTTTAATTGCTCAAGCCATCTGTCTTGCATTCTTTTTTCCTCAGCCATATTTCATCCTGTTAACCTATTTAACTTTCCTTAACCTTCCTAAAACATAAAAAAACCCTAATCACCTAAATCCTTCTATGCCTTTTATTAAAATAGGGGAGAGCATACATGTAATATTACATTTTTCTCATGTTTCCTATTGCCATTCCTTTGTCCCTTTTTTTCTTTTGATTACTGGTGCAAACTGAGCAGTGGTTTCACTGTCAACTCAGAGTGATACCTGAAACTCCTTCCAGCATGTTTTATACTAGACGCTGGAAGACTTTATTTGGCTTAACCCAGGCTAAACATATGTAAATACATCCTGTTGCCCGAGGGACTTAAATACAAACCTGTTCTCTAGTTGGATAAAAAGAGTCTTAAGAGTTCTTTTGATGCCTTGAAAGAAAGCTCAAATGCTATTAAGGACAACTTTTCAATTCGTACATTCATTTTAAGGCATATTTGAAACTGGTTCTCTTACTACATTTTAGCAGTCATTTGAGCATCACTGGTCAGGAGAAGTCTTGAACTAACTTGACTGTTAATCATCCAAATGATCTGTCTATCACAGCTCATGGAAATTATCAGTTAGGAAGATAAGGTTTCGGCAAGTCAATGACTTGCTGACCACAAATTGTCTAACCTTGGTTTATTGTGGTGCTGTTTTAAAGTAAATATAATTTCTTATACTGGTATTTACCTCACATTTATTTAAGAGATATAGTTCCATAGAATTAAGAAAAAGCTCCATTCTTTCTCTGAAGAATAATATCCAAATGGCCTATTTTTATTTTTATTTTTTTAAATTATGAGAATTAAAACAGCCAATCTTTTACAGTGGGATACCATAAAGCAGTCTCTCTGTACGCATAGGCATATAAAAAGAAAGTAAAGTTTAGCTCAAAGAGATGAATCCATACGAAATTTGGGCTTGTACTGCTCAACCAGTTCCAGCTTCTGCCATGTGCAGGGCTGCCCCCACCAGCTCAGGCTGCCCAGGGCCCCATCCAACCTGGCCTTGAGCACCTACTGGGATGGAGCACTCACAGCTTCTCTGTGCAGCCTGTGCAAGTGCCTTATTAAAGAACGTCATCCTAACACCTAATCTAAATCTCTCCTATTTAGTTTAGGTCTTATCATGGCATTTTACAAATGGCAGCTTACAAACAGCAAACAAATTCATTCTTATTTGTGCTCTTAACACACTGTATTTCAGAGGGCCTAGCAGGGTTATATTTTGCTTTTTACTTTTTGGAATTATCTTAAGACAATCACAAATTCCTGTAACCTCATGCATTACTTTGTTCTTTAACTAATGAACTGGAGTAGGAGGAAATTTAGCAGAATTGTAGAAGAAACATGTAAAGGAGCCCTGATCATCCTCTCCCCGTGTTTCTCTTAGGTCACAGCAAAAGTGATGTTAATGCAGCTTAGCTTACCAAGGAAGGCAGTTGTAGTGACTCAGGTTATGCTTGATTGCTTACTGAGCTGTGATAACTCAATTATGAGCTCAAGCACCAAGCCTTTGTCATGAAATTCACCTCTTCACAGGGTTCACTCTGTAATAACATCACTTCCAGAGAGGATTAAGTTCCATTCTGGACCCAGAATGGAACTAATTGCTCAGTTAACATAACAGCTGGAATCTTGGAATTTACAAATGTGCTTCACCATTTGGGTCTACATAGTTCAGATTTTTAGACTGCGTTTCAGATGCTTTTTCTGAACTTGGGCTGAAAGAAAAACATGGCAGGTGTCTCCTAATCATGCTTTAGTCTGATTTGTTCTTCCTGTTGTGTGAGGTGATGGGAGCTGTAACAGTTTGCATGGTGATCTCTGTAAGGAAAAGCACATAAAAATAGTAAAAAGGAAGAAAGAAAATTTCTGTTGTTTTCGTGTTTTTTTTTTTTTTTTTTTTTTTTTGCATTTGAGCCTGAAGATGAAAATTCTCCCATATGGCTGAAATACATCTTCCCCCACTAGAAAGCAAATCCCTGTGGAGTGAAAATTGGCTTCAGAACCCAAAGTATGAAATTCAAGTTTTATGTATATTTGAGATTTCAAGTTTTGCATATCTCTGTACCAAAAAGTCATTTGACTGAATTTCACATCAGAAAGAACTTTAGCAACTCAAAATCACTGATAGCAAATGGCAGCTTTCTGCAAAAAAGGCCCCCTTTTGAGGTTCAATAACTCTCACACACCTTTATTTCTACCACTAGCCAGTTTTAATCATCTACCCCTCACCGATATCTGTATTTTTATTTCCACAGCCTAATAATATAAACATATGAAAGAATAAAGTCATTGGAATCTATCTTGGGAAGCAGAATATAAGTAATACTCCATAAAATATACAGTTTCAGGGCTGATATTTCTTCCCCATAACTCCCAACTAGCCAAAAGCAGAGTCCAAATTGAGTTGAGTCGTTCATATGAAGGGACAAACAGCCTTATACTGGGACATACAGAACATCCAGAGAGCTGAATGTGGACAGCTGAGGAGATTCAAATTTAGCCAGAAGAAAACTTCCATCACGTATTTAATTCCAAAGATTTATTTTGCAGTCTTTGTGCGTGGACATGGCTGATCAAGCACACATAACCCACCAGCAATGCTTGTACAAAGAAAAACCAAGTAATGGTATCTCCCTGAAACTGGAGAACTGAATCTGGCCCCACACAGCACCACTGACAAACACAGGGCTGCAGACAGTTTGACACAATCAACAAGAAAACCAAACAACACAGTGGTGATATTTTCTGTGTTGTCCTCTTGCTGTTGGAGAAGCGATAGCAGCATAACGTTGGAAATAAAAATTACCAAACAAATTTTACAACACAAAACTCTCTTCAGGATCAGAGATGAGAAGTTACACAGTACCTACACATCTGCAGCTTCCTCAGAAACTTCCACAGCCCCAGGCAGAGGTGACAGCAGCCACTTCCTTAGCCAGCAAGCAGAGCATCTGCACATCTGCACCACTGCACATCTCGACGATGGAACTATTTGCAACTGAGCCATGGGCTGGAGCGAAGGGCAGAGGAGAGGCAACTGCTATCCTTGTCTGTAGTCACTGTCTGCAGAAAGTGTGTATATGGAGTGTGTGTATCTGGGCTATGGCGAGAGATTGGCAAGGGGGACACAACCCCTATTGTTAATAATGCACAATCCCCCAAGCTGCGATATGAAATTCTATTGGACGTCCTTTTATCAACATGCTTATAGCTGGGCTCCAGATGCAACTTTAAACAACTGTAAGATAATTTTATCCTGTTGCAGAAGTCCAACTGAACTGCTTTATCAGGCCAACATGATATTTTATTGAAGTTATCTGATAGGCATTATTTGTTGATAATGTTGCTGTAATGCACATCAATGAATAGCACTGTGTGCTACATTTTTCTAATTTTAATAATAATAATAATGGATTCTAGTCCAGCCACCTCATCTCAGTAAGATCACAGCATTTCATGTCAGTAGCCCTAATTGCAAAGTGATTTTCAACCTGAATGAGAGGGTCTGAACTTGCCAGTCTTGCTCTACAGGCAGTAGAAGAAGAATTTCTCCTGGAAATGGTCTGCAGGGGTGGTTTCAAGTTCATTTTTTACCTAGCCACCACTTAGAAAGCCTCACGAAACATGTGGTAGGCAACAAGAGCCACCAAAAGAAGACATATCCATTTGTTAGGTATACAACTTTAGAAGGGGTTATTGAAGACACCTTTCTTCATTTTTCTCCGTAGTATTTGATTAGCTTCTATATCTCATAATCAGTTGGTATAGTCCTGATTCACTCAGTTTCTTAAAAGTAGCACCAGTATCATAAATCTGAATCTTCATTCTTAACTCTCTTCCTTACATGTATCTTTTTTTTTCATCTTACTTGTTGCTGAATCTCTATCCCAATAAAATAGCATAAATCCAGGCATAAAGTCTCAGAACAATTTTCTTCTGTTAGCCAGTGGTGAAATTGCCCTATTAGGTAATCTATGCTTACAATGTGTGCAGCAAATATTCCATAAATAAATAAATCACAGTATACCCTATACATCATTTAGAAGTAATAGCTATCCGGATCTTTGATCTTAATTTACAGTATGAAACAAAACAATAAGCAGCTTATTAGTCAGGGAAGTCTGAACAGAACAAATACTAGAAAGCAATTCTCCATTTATTTCTCGCTCTATATATGAATATATGTATAGCCATATACACATTTATATTTTGTATATATATGAGTATATACATATATACATATATACTTTTTTTTAATCCCAAATTTATGAATTTACACATTAATAAATATAACTTATGGAAGCAGCTGGCTCTAGCTAAATGCTGCACTTGCTTCTTGTGCCATACTCCTCACTGACAGTAGCACTAAGACTTACTGACTTTTCATATGAAACAACAGCTATTCAAGTGCTTATCTACACTGTTAGCATCCAAGTTACTCAAAGAAACAAGAAAAACCATTATCACAATTACAAACTGGAAATAAAAGTTCATTAAAAATATCCTAAATGAAAGGCAATGGATCGCCTACCACTTGGCAACCTGCTGAGTCTTGCTATCATGACATTACGCAGACCTTAAGGCCAGTTTTAACAGCATTAAATAGCTTAGAAACTTATAAACATGGAGAAGGTCCAGAGCTTAAGAATTAAGCCCAAATTAAATTTATGTCCAAATAAGAAATAGGTTTCCAAGTTCCTTTGGAAATTTTGAGTGTTAAGAAATGGTGTTTATTTGGTTTCAGGGAAATTTTGGCTCCTAAGATTTGTTTTGAAAGGAACTTGAAAGAGAGGAATTGGTTATCATTTTACACAAACAGAGAATAAAAAAAGAAAGCCAACCCCAAAGAAAAATTAACAACAAAAAACACCCTTGGGAAACTTGGTATTTGATTTTCTTTTCAATGCTACACCCTACAACTACTATCAAAGTTCTTTCCCTTCAATATGAGGGTTAGATTTCCTTTCATACTAAAAATTCTAGAAATAGTCTTATAAAAATATGTATATCTATCTCACAGAAATGCAGTACCAGCAAACTCAGAAACTATAGGAAAATGATAGATCATGATTTGCAGGTCAGATAAAGAAACCAATCAGGTCCTGCAGCTCCCCAGTTATGAAAAGCTGGGAGGTCTTCATAAGAAGCAGAGAAAAGCCAAAACAGCTGGAGAAGGACTGGAAGGTTGGAGGAGCGTCACCTGTGTTCTTTTTCCTCACTTCTCATGTTTAGGCTTACTGTCTGGGAGCAAGGCAAGCTGGTCCCATTTCAGGTTGGCTCACATTGATTCCTAGCAACCCTATCCCTGCTGGCACTCCTTCCCACACACACCTCACCATCAGCACACAACAGCCCCTGGCCAACTACTGCTCCCCACTGCCAGTATGCTTCCCCAGGTCTATATCCCTCCACTCCATTACTTTGCAGGTGTCCAAGAAAACTCTGGCCCTTATTTATTTAAACAACTGCTGCTACTCTGCCTCCAACTTCCCCTACATCACCCTGGCTGCTAACAAGTTCACCTGTACTCACTTTAAAACATATTTGAGGAGGAAGTAGTTAATATTGTCACATTAAAAATACAATTGCTATAAACATACTCAATGAAAAGAACACATTTTTCCCCCAGCCATCCCAAAAGAACATCCCTGTTTTACATGATTGCTTGTTTTGTTTCCCCATTGTCCACTGAAGAAGTGAAGTTTGATTCTTGCTCAGCACTTGATTTCCTCTCTTCTGGGTAATGGTTCATTTCTTGCATTTCCAAGGAGACTTTATTTCTTTTGGCAAATGCGTGGCTGATCTCACTCAATGTCTTGTTCTTAGTTTCAGGGAGGACAAAAAACAGGTAGGTTGCTCCTGCAAAGCAGATGGCAGCAAACACGAGGAAGCAGTAGTTCTGTAAACCGCTCTGTGAACAGAAAACAAGTGAGATATGGTCATTGCATGCATCAAGGCGAAAAAAAGTCATAAGAAAATCAACACCAGGAATGGAATGAAAGCCCAAGTGGGTGGTGTGGAGCAATTTTTAAGCAAGTACAGTAAGTGCTGGCATTCACTGCAAGTCAGAGTGCCTTAGAAGTTCATAAAAATGCATGAATCTGCAGCTCTTCCAGGACCAGTGGCCCAAAGACAGAACAACAGGCTGCAGGCAGAGGTGCTAGAAGGCACCAGGCTGGGGCTGCATGCACTAGGAGCAGGGGGAAGCAGGGCTTTTGCTGCCTGCACAGCTCAACCCAGCCTTGCACTTGTGCAATACTGCTGGAGATCAAGCAGGTTTTTCACCAGGCTGCTGTGAACACAACCTCTCAATTTCTAGGTACAAAAAGAAGGCATGCTTTTGTGATATCTTGCAGCTGTACATGACAGAAGAGAAACCTGTCATAGCCAGAGGCAGTGGCGTCACAGATGGTACAGCTCTGAGATTTGCAAAATAAACAAGGAGGAAAAAAGGCAGATATTTCTATCATTTCCGAGGTTACAAGAGCTTCAAGAAGAAAAAATTCCATAAAATGTACTTCATTCTTGCTGGAGAGGAGTGTGAGAACTACTATCCCTAACTCCTGAAGAAATTCAAAGGGTCCAGGATCCCTGTAGTTGTTTTTGAGCTCTTAAAGCAAATGTCTAATGAACAATTTTACTTGCTTTAATTAACAAGGGCAAAATTAACAAAAAGTGGTATCTCCAGATCCACAAACAAGGCAGTCTTTCCACAATGCCTTGTGTGAGGTCATGAATAGTGAGCATAGGGAGAAATTGATGTCTCAGACTCAATCTGAGATATTTGAATGGAGAAATCTGACACTGGTTAAAACTTGTGGCTGTGAGTTCCTAGACATACGTATTTACAATTGCCATTAAATGTATGTGCATGAAACAAACATGAAAATACTAAACCATGACATAACACCAACTTTCCACAAATTTTCTGCTATATGTCCACCATAATTAGATATCTCATTTCTATACTGTAGGGTGGGTAAGGAATCCTAAGGGGTTATGCAATTCCTGGGACTGTTTTTATGTTTCACTTGCTCAATATACATAATATATAGCATGGAAAAAGAATACGAAGTCATGTGTGGAATGAGGAATAAAAAAAATAAACTTCTGCAGCTTCATGGCTGCCTGGTCACAATGTTTTCCATGGGTAATTCATTACCTAGTTCAGCCCCTCGGCTCCTGACTGTAATAGGAAAGGCTTGAAAGTGCATCCTCTGAAACACTGCCTGTGGACTCTTGAAATCACTGACACATTTTTTGTTAAATCTTAGAAGCACAAACTCCTGAACAACCTGACAATCACAAGCCAATGAGCATGGGTGATGAGGAGGAAAAATATTCTGGGAAAGAAACTGATATGGCTTTCAAGCTTATACAGAGGCAAAAGCAAATGAATTTAGTAGACAGGAAAAAATAACTTCACAGTGCCTCATAAATCATTCTGTCATGTTAAAAAAATCCAAATTTTGCATCTGGCTTCTCTGCATGTGTAATTACTGTTCACTGCAATGGTACAGTTCCAATCTAGAATTATGTTTTTCCCATTTTAAGATGTTCATTGAACTAGACTTTCTCCTTGATGCAAACAAACCATTAATGCCCAGTTTTACTTAGCCTGACCACCAGTTCACTGTGCATCTTGGTAATGCTGCCACAGGTTTCTCCCAGCTTTGTCACTCCTGATTATTTCTTTGCTGACCATTATTTGAATTAGTGTTTATTAACTTCTTTGATTTGTGCTAACTGAAACCTTTTCTAACTGCACTGAATATTGTCATGACTACACGATTTATTTGCAATTATTTTACATAATATGTTTACAATTACTGGTAATAAACTTGCTATCCTTAATTTCTGCATTTCTTTTAGATATAGCCCCCAAGGGCCTCCAGATGAAATTTCACAGAGAACAAGATAAAAAGTATTCTTTCTTATAAATCCTGCAAATGAGTTCTGCAGGAAGAGACCATTACTTTGCACTTCTCATGTTCAGCAGGAATGGAGCCTTAATTCTTGGGGAGGACCACCACAGGGCAATCACAAAATGATTGTAACTTTTCTCATCACCTATTGTTCAGTCATAATATTTCTTTAAAGCAGGTTATCATTTTACACACAGAGAAAAGACAAACGTTCATAAGCCTTTGTAACTCAGAGTTCAGCTAATATCTTCTGAATCCGTGTCTGCAACAGAAGAATATAAATTACATTACCCATTATAAGCATGAAATCTTCTATCTGCACTGCACACTGATAAAGGAATTAGGACAGAAGTGCAGAATAAAGCAGAAGGTAAATATCAAATCTTGAATCCTAACTCAAAAGAAACCTTTAATGGGGTATGAAAGGGATACAGCTCAGCCTAGATTTGTAATTCATTTTTATCTTTTTCTGATGTATTCTGAATTGATTGGTGCCAGAGGGAGGAATCAATGAGTGGATGAGTATATCTGATGTTCCTGTCAAGAGATGCTGAAGGTAGGGTAGTGCGCTGGGAAGAATGTGAGCACTGAGTTACTGCACACTCAGTCTGAGAGGGAGGTCTGTTGGGCTGGAGTGGGAATGAAAAAACTGAGGAAGAATTTCAATTAAAGCCTTTGGGGCCATGTGAAGTACAGATACTCTGCAATTCTGTGCACTTAGCCCATTGGGTGTGGTCTCAAGATCCCCTACTGATATGTGCATTCTTAATGACATAAGACTAATGATAACACACATAATAAAATTTGAAAAGTTAAATATTTTCCTATACTTTTGAACATTATTTCACTAATTACATGGAATAGAAGCTTGTATTTCCATCTGTTTTCCATTGTTTCTTCAGTGTATCCTCTTGCATGAACAACGGATGTTCAAAGCTGCTAAATATTTCAAGGGGTTTCCTGAATAACCAGGGCCCCATCTCTTGAGAGGCTCATAGTTATTCATTCAGAGTCGAGGTCAGATACACAAATGTCCTTGAAGGACCATGATTTCTGTGGGTTATGGAAGTCTGCCTTTCTGGGCTCCCAGCAGAGGGTATGAGAATAGCAGACCAGATTTTTGCTGCCATCTCTTCAAGAGAGCACCTTGGGTATTCCTAGTTAGTCAGTAGGCTACTAAATCTTCTTCAAAGTAGACTTAGAGTGAATTTTTCAAGGATGCCCAGGATATTTTAAAGTTAAGAACAAACTTTTAAACTTATCACCTTCCATTTTCATATTGGCTTTCTAAGGAGGCTATTTAAAACTCCATGTTTCTATAAATGTCCTGCCACTTGAATCTTGAATTACTCATTTTTTTATCCTCTTTATATTTCTGCAGCTGATCAAGGCTCTGTATTCTCTGAAAAGTGGGAAATCAGGAAACTATTCATTTAAGACATGCATTTGATTACCACAAAAAGGAGTTAACGTCAAAGCACTTAATTCTGCCAAATCAGATCCCCAACACAGCAAATCAAACCTGACTCAGACAGTGGCTTGTAGCTCTGTAATTGAGGTGTCTGAATAAGGCAGTGCAGCACAGCAACATCTTTTTAATCATAAAGTTTAACATATTCTCAGATTGTATAGGGCTGCTATTGGCATTATGCAAAACGTATAGGCCCAGTCTCTCCTTAAACAATCTCTCTGCAATCTCTCTTTAAACATAATGCTAAAGAACACTTAATTTTTACCACTGTGACTTAAAATGCTCAGAGCTTTTTTTTTTTTTTTTTCCCCCCAAGCTAAAAATTAAACACAAACAAATGGAAATCCTAGAATTAAAATTGTAAGATCTCTAGAATTCACAAAACAAACAAACCAACAAGCAACCTAACAGAAACTCCCCCAGATTTGCTCCTCAGGCAATAAATAGCAATTTACTGATTTAACTCACTTTATGGTAAAAATCAATTTCTAGGCACAACTGCTACAATGAAATTTGGAAAATTTATATTCCTGAGCATATACAGAAAAGAAATGCACAAATGAACAAATTCTGAATCAGATTTAGCAAGTTTACCAAACAAACATTTTTAAAACAGAAGTTCTGACTCCCAGCAAATATCAGATTTTCTTTCCAAATATGATACCAACGTGATTCCTTCCAACTGAATTACCTTTATACGCTTTCACTAGTCTTGGAAACATAATCCAGAAACAAACAAATGTGTATCTAGACAATGTATCTCAATTTCCATTTGAGTTTTTATTTATGAACTCTGCCTGATTTCTCCATCAATTGCTGCTGAGTCTTACATAGGGACCTCCTGTTCTCCACTTTTGCTTTCTTATTTGCTTTTGCATTTCATAATAGTGAAGTCAATCACAAAATAATTTTCAGTATAGTGGACTGGGGGCAATCCAAGAAAACACACATTATCTGCCCTAAAAGTTCAATTGCAAGGCTGAAAAAAGCAGGAGAGATTCCTTCAGTACCATCAAAACTTTAAGTGGAAGGCAAATGAATCCGTTTACCTTCCCAGTCTCTAAATTCCCAACTTGAAATGTCACTGCACGTGGATGCAATGGATGCTTGCATTTGGTGGTTACCATGAAGAGTCAGTAGCAGTCAAATTGGATATTTGAGGTAATGATATCAAATAATAATGGTTTGATGCCTTACTAAAAAAGTCGTCAGCAAAACAGTTATTCATGTGGATGTTTGGCTTTACTTGCTCTTGTTCAAATTCATTTTTGAATGAAAGGAAATGGATGAGAGAATTTGTGTCCTTTACCCCTTGTCCTTGAGATTCAGACATAATTTAAAGTTCCACTGAAGGTGCAGGACAGTGAAGAATGACAGAGCTCCTACATGAAATGTATTTCATTAAGTAAAAAATAGAGCAATTTTCAAAGTCACATACTTCAGTTTCATTCCAAACTCTCATATGTTTATTACCTCCTCATAAAGATAACAGATCTTTGTATTCTATACTTGCAG